CTTGAGGGTGTCCCTTAGTCTACCCAGCTCTGGCATTAGCTGGTCAAAAGTAAAGGTGGCTGGTTATTGCGCTGGCTATACACTCAAACTTGTAAACGCAGCTTCAATTTCCCCATGGGTAGGCCAATATGATCTGAAGGGGAACTTTACTTCCCCAAGACTCGCAATGCATCCTACGACCAGCAAGTTTCCAACAAATTTTTTAACGCTTTTTTTGTATTTAGACCCATAGTTACAACAGTGACAGTATGGCTTTTTGTTTTTAGACCCATAGTTACAACAGTGACAGTATGGCTTTTTGTATTTAGACCCATAGTTACAACAGTAGCAGTATGGCTTTTTGTTTCAATTATCAACATTTTTTTGACAAGAGCTAAAATTGTTGATGTCAATGATATTGATATGTTTTAAGTACGGTACCGGTATGTGCATTTCATTGTCATCACTAAGTGTTATTTCAACTATTTCTGGAGCGGCATATTGTGTCCCTACTTATTATGATACTTATTAGAAAATAAAATGAAACAAATAAAACGTGACATATTTTTTCAGCTAAACATTAACACACAACTCTGTGATCTAAAATATTTGAATAAGTAAGTTATTAATAAGTATTTGTTTATTAGAGAAAAAACAAATGGATGTTAAAGTTTATGAGTGGAATTATACAAAGAAAATTAAACAGTCAAAAGAGCTAAAAGTATATCACAATGTACAGTTAGAACAGCTGTATCTGACTTAAACATGGTTTATGCGGCTGATCTGCATATTGCATGTCCATGTTGTTTACATTTTTTTAACGAAACTTGAATGAACATTCTAACAAAATAGATTGAAACTTGTAACATAAGTAACAAAACTATATGAAAATAACAATAAAACTATGTGAACAGAAAAAGAAAGCTATAGGAAGAATATTATTATAATATAACACTACGAAATAACCATTAATTTAAATATTTTGTTTTTAAATTTTATTTATAAAAATGAGGCATCCCCGAAGGGGAATCGAACCTTTGTCTGCTGGGTGACGGTCGGAGATACTGACCACTACTCTACCGAAGAGATGTGTGTAATCGAACTTTGTACTTTATATTCATTAATTAATTTATCACATTCTGTGAATAACGTTTAGCGTTATCGGCAGACCGAAATCTGTGAATAACGGCGAGCGTTATCCGCACAGCTCTGTGAATAATCACTTC